AATAATAATAATAATAATAACTTAATTGTATGTTGTTAAATAACTTAAAGAGTGTAATTAGGTTGTTTGTAACTGAAAGGATCAACCCTTGAGGGCATGGCTACCCCACCCCCATGACGTGCTTAGTTCACATTGCATGCTGTATCAAAACATCTCATATGCCCCATAAGTACACCTAGCATGTACCACAACAATTTTTTAAATAATTTTTAAAATAAACCAAATTATAAGGGAAAGAATATTATGAATTTAGAAATGTAAAAGGTCTCAGGTAAGGAAGGAATGAGAAGATTATGCAGAAGCTCCCATCATTGCTGGGACTAGAACGGAAGCCCTGCCTTTTGCCAACACCCCCTGCCCTCTCCCTCACCTCTCAGTGTATGTGAGACTCTACCCGTGCTACGAAATGGGATAAATGGCCTCAGGGGGCCGCATGCAGTGCTGTTTGCATTGTCTTACCTCTGGACCAGATTTTGGGGTTGCTGAGAAAAGGGATGGTTGGTTGTATGTCTTGATCCCCCCAGAGGATTTGGGGCATAGGACAGGGGAACTGGTCTGCCTGGTTCACTCTTGTCGATGAACTTGGCAGTGGTATGTCATGTGGGTGATAGGCAGGGGTGCAGACTTCCCCAGGATGATTCTGCTCCTGAGCAAAAGCTCCAGTGATGTGGGAGGAGCCCCAGCACCAGAGCATGCTGGGAGGTTGTGCAGGGTGGGACGGGCACCTGCTTGCCCTCCGCTCTCTATCCGGGGGATACATCCAAAGGCAACTGTTCCTTATCTGCTCTTGTTGGGAGCAAGGAAGGGCCAATTTGTTCAGTGACCTGTACAGAGACAGTCCCTCTGGCCAGAGTTTAAGACAGTATTGCCTCACTCTAGATAGAGATTTTATCTTGATTTTTTCATGGCAAGACCAATGTTTCTCTAAATTAATCCCAGGTATTGTTTAAAAGCAATAAAAATGATGAAATTATAAAACTTTGAAACTCCCTAAATGTAATGACAAGGAAACTGACATGTTATGTTAGTCAGATGCTCCTGGCTAGAAGAGAGAATATGAGCAGGGATAAGAGGCATAGTCTGCATGCATTTTCCATTCCTGAGAAAGCAATGGGAAGAAAAGAGAGGTGGCCACAGCGCATCCGTCACACAGTCTCTGCCCAGCTACTTGCTTTCTTTTTTACTTTTTTCTTTCTTTCTTTCTTTTTTTTTTTTTTTTTGAGACAGAGTCTCACTCGCTCTATCACCCAGGCTGGAGTGCAGTGGTGTGATTTCAGCTCATTGCAACCTCCACCTCCCAGGTTCAAGTGATTCTCCTGCCTCAGCCTCCCGAGTGGCTGGGATTACAGGTGCCCACCACCACACCCAGCTAATTTTTTTGTATTTTTAGTACAGACAGGGTTTCAACATGTTGACCAGGTTGGTTTCAAACTCCTGACCTCAAGTGATCCACCTGCCTCGGCCTCCCAAAGTGCTGGGATTACAGGTGTGCACCACCACGCCCAGCCCCAACTACTTGCTTTCTACTGGGATGCACTCCATGGTTAATAGAGTCAGTTAGTGACTGTAACTTTTGAACTTTTTGTTCAAAGTGAAAAATATTTTAAATAATGCTTACCCCATTATCTTTCTGGCCATTAGGAAAAAAACCTCCCTTCAGACAGAATGCAGAATAAAACATGATAGAAAGTCTATACCAGGGGTCCCCAAACTATGGCCCACGGGCTGCATGCGGCCCCCTGAGGCCATTTATCCGGCCCCCGCCACACTTCAGGAAGGGGCACCTCTTTCATCGGTGGTCAGTGAGAGGAGCACTGTACGTGGCGGCGCTGCAAAGCGCGGCATCACTCACAGTACTACTTCCGGTGATGCGGGACGCACGCGTCACGGCTCCGGAATCACGTCGTATGACGCACATCCGGCCTGCGGCTGCGGTGCCCCACATCACCAAAAACAGTGTGAAATAGCAGCAGAAGTAGGAAGAAAGGCAAAGCCCTGTAACCATTACTACACAGTACAGTGGCCCCCATACTCCCCCAAATGTACAACAACATAATGGCCCCTATAACCTCCCCTTGCCCAAAAGTCTCCCCCCACATTACTACACACCATGTTTCCCCTCTTATAAGACCCTGTCTTATATTAATTTTACTCCCAAAAGACGGGGGCTGTCTTATTTTTAGGAGGCGTCTTATAATAGGGGAGACATGCAGCAGTGGGCTTCCCACAGAAGAGGCCCACCGCTGCTGCAGATGTCCAGGACGCTGTATACACAGAGTCACAGGCTGATCACTGCCGTCCCTGTTTACAGCACTGGAGGCGGTACTGGGCCTGTGACACTGTACACCGCTGTCTGGGATGGTGGAGGCAGCAGCTCTGGCTGTCACACACTTGCATAGTCTGGCCCTCCAACGGTCTGAGGGACAGTGAACTGGCCCCCTGTGTAAAAAGTTTGGGGACCCCTGGTCTATACAGATTCACAGCCTGATTTATGCTACTAGGTTATAGAGGGGAAAAAAGCCTCCTAAACCCTATGAAACGTCAATATTTCTCTTTTGTTTTTCCCTGTGTGCTATCTGATGATTTCCCTGTAAACTTTAATGATTTATTGCCAGAATTCCAAACATAAGATATGAATTTCACAGAAATGGATGAATGGTACCCATTTTGGATATTGGCAGAGGAAGCCAAAGCATCCCTTCCTCACCGCACTAAAAGCTGTTGTTTACATTCAGCAAACCTCAAATGTGAACATACTTTTATGCACATGCATTTAAGGGATCAATATTTGCTTTGGGGCAGTACCCTTTACTCCATCTGGAGAGTCTGGGATTCTGTGACCACGTGATGACGGCTGCCCTGACAGTGACTGGTGGCCGCATGTACACATCTGAGCCTCTCCATGATGTGAGCTGTGGGCATCAATGTGACCATGTTCAGAAGGGAAGACAGTTCTGGAAGCTCAGGGTCACCTAGTCAGCCTCATTGGGCAATTGATGACTCAGCTGGGTTCAGGGAGGCGGACCTGAGGCAGAGCCTCCAGAAGGCAGCGGTGGGCAGGGCGGTTCAGGCAGGTGCACCTGGGCAAAGGTGCAGACGTGAAATCCTGAAAGCACTTCTCAGTGCTGCTGGGCTTCCGGGGAGTAGAAAGATGGTGGCAAGTGCAGGATCGGTGGGGACACACGTGGAAGGGCTGGAGCAGTGTGCTCAGGAGACTGGGCTTCAGTCTGGAGGTCTCAGCAAGTGGTATAAGATGGTTCAGTGAGAGCGTCATGCAGGATCGGGGGGGACACACGTGGAAGGGCTGGAGCAGTGTGCTCAGGAGACTGGGCTTCAGTCTGGAGGTCTCAGGAAGTGGTATAAGATGGTTCAGTGAGAGCGTCATGCAGGATCAGGGGGGACACACGTGGAAGGGCCGGAGCAGTGTGCTCAAGAGACTGGGCTTCAGTCTGGAGGTCTCAGCAAGTGGTATAAGATGGTTCAGTGAGAGCGTCATGCAGACTCACCCCAGAGGATCGCTGCTCTGTCACTGTACCCTTACGGAAACGTCGTTTGCCTGCTAGTTGACGTAGCCCACCATTGTCTGAGACTCACCCACTTGGATTTGTTTGGACTCTACAAAGTATTCATGGCCCTACAATCACAGTCGAGGACCCCCTGCGCGAGCTGCCTTCATGGCTGCAGGGAGAGCACACCAGAATGAATGTCACACCCAGCACACACGCCGCCAGCTCTGCCCCGCTCCCCGAGCCCTGCAGCCTGAGCTGCACTGGCCGCCTGTTGTTCCTGGAATGTGCCAATGTGTTTCAGTCCTGCGACCTTTGCACTTGGTGTTCTGTTTGCTGGAACGTTCTCCGCCGGGACATCTATACAGCTTGCCCCCTCATTTCCTGAAGTCTCTCCTGCCCCTTCATCAGTGAGGCCTTCCCTGGCCTCTCCATGTAAAGTAACATCTATTCTGTGTCTCTACCTGTTAGGTTATGTGCATTTGTTTCTTTGTTCACTGTCTGTGTCCCAGTTAGAAAGGAAGCTCCCTGAGAGCAGGAATCTGTTTTTTTTGTTTGTTTGTTTGTTTGTTGAGACACACACTCACTCTGTCGCCCAGGCTGGAGTGCGGTGGTACTATCTTAGCTCACGGGAACCTTCACCTCCCAGGTTCAAGCGATTCTCCTGCCTCAGCCTTCTGAGTAGCTGGGATTACAGGCATGTGCCACCATGCCCAGCTAATTTCTATATTTTTAGTAGAGATGGGGTTTCGCCTTGTTGGCCAGGCTGGTCTCAAACTCCTGACCTCAAGTGATCTGTCTGCCTTGGCTTCCCAAAGTGCTGGGATTACAGGTGAGAGCCACCGCACCTGGCCCAGGGATCTGTTTTTGTCTCTGCTGTGTCCCCAGCACCTCAAACACCCCATACAGAGCTCTGGACAGGGTGCTCAATCAGTGATGAGTGAGAGATTCCTGGCCTCATGGGCTGTGGCTCCTTCAACATTTTGTTGTTTAAAGGTTTTTCACTTTCTCAGCATGCTGATCCAGAGTGAAGCCTAGAGGAGAGGCTCAGCAGGGGTCCTGTTTAGATGATGAATTCAGGCGTGACGTTGCATTTTAAATTAAACAAGTGGCCAGGCACAGTGGCTCACGCCTGTAATCAAAGCACTAAAGCGGGCTGATCACCTGAAGTTAGGAGTTCGAGACCAGCCTGGCCAACGTGGTAAAACCCCATCTCTGCTAAAAATACAAAAAATTAACCAGGCGTGGTGGCGGGCTTCTGTGATCCCAGCTACCTGGGAGGCTAAGGCAGAAGAATCGCTTGAACCAGGGAGGTGGAGGTTGCAGTGAGCTGAGATCGTGCCACTGTACTCCAGCCTCGGCAACAAAAGCAAGACTCCATCTGAAAAAAAAAAAAAAAAAATTAGTTTAAAATTTTAAAAAAATTTTAAAAATAAAAACAAGTGAACGTTCTTATAATACGTCAGTCTTACCGACTGTGCCTCCTTCCTTCAGGTAGCTTGGAGCTCAGCTGAGCAACCAGCACCATCCGGTCACGATGGTGGACACAGAAAGCCCGCTCTGCCCCCTCTCCCCACTCGAGGCTGCCGATCTAGAGAGCCCGTTATCTGAAGAATTCCTGCAAGAAATGGGAAACATCCAAGAGATTTCACAATCCATTGGTGAGGATAGTTCTGGAAGCTTCAGTTTTACGGAATACCAGTACTTAGGAAGCGGTCCCGGCTCAGATGGCTCGGTCATCACGGGTAAGTGTGCTGTTTCCTAGAAGGTTTCCTTTAGAAATGTTTCTTCCTCAGAGAAAACCGTTCTCTTTAGCTGGAAAAGAAGTCACATCTTTTTGCAAAGAAATCTTCGAACGTGGTAAAGTGTCACCTCCAGTGCCGCTGGGCCCCGGAAGCTTCTGAAGCACGTGTCACAGCTCATGGTGCGTGCTCTTGTGAAAGCCACACACATGTCAAACAATGCTCAAGATTCGGTCACGGGGAGCGGCTAAAGTGCACAGACCCTAACCCCGGCAAGCCCACAGGGGACAGCTAAACATTTTAAAGAGATGTGTGCAAGAGTCTGCACGGAGGCGCTGTTTGTAAGAGGGAAGGATGGGAAATGAGCTGGGAATGCATCAAAGGGCAACAGATAAATTGGGATGTGTTTATACAGTGGCATATTTCATAGCAATTTAAAAAAACAGACTAAGCCAGGTGCGGTGGCTCACGCCTGTAAGCCCAGCACTTTGGGAGGCCAAGGTGGGTGGATCACTTGAGGTCAGGAGTTCGAGACCAGTCTGGCTAACATGGTGAAACCCCATCTCTACTAAAAATACAAAAATTAGCCGGGCGTGGTGGCACACACTTGTAATCCCCGCAACCCTGAAGGCTGAGGCAGGAGAAATACTTGAACCCTGGAGGTGGAGACTGCAGTGCAGATATCATACCACTGCACTCCAGCCTGGTGACAGAGCGAGACTCAGTCTCAAAAAAAAAAAAAAAAAAAAAAATTATTTCTTATTAGTAAATTAAATCTTTCATCTTTGTATCTGATCTTTTGGGTAATATTTCTAGTTATGCAGACTGCTTTCTCAGAAGGGCCAGATATAAAATGTACTTACTTTAAACTTTACACCCAGGAGACCGGATGGGTGAGGCTGGTTCACTCGGCCAACGTACCTTTTTATCCCTGGTTTTTCTTCCCGGCTTTATTGCCGTAATTGACATACAATAAACGGCTCTATTTACAGTGTACAGTCTGACAGGCATACACACACATGCATCTGTGAAACCGTCAGTGCACTCCAGATCGTCATGCAGAGTTTTTGCCGCTTGGTTCGGCTAAATCTGGGGTTTTGTGTCATGACCGGGAAAAATTAGGCACGTGGACAGGTTGAAGAGTGAGGAGAGCAGAATGTGTTGGGTGAAAAGAAAAAAGAAAAAACTCTCAACAAAGCTAGAGGGGGTCCTGCCAAGGGGCTCCCAGCTTGCAGACTGATGACCAGGCCGCTACACGCGAGCAGGAGGCCAGGCTCCTCCCTGCTGCACAAGGTGAGAACTTCTCATGGCTCCACCCCATTCTCCCGGTGCCCAGGTGGTCCCCAGTCCCTTGAGGACCTGTCCAGGCAAGGGAACCCTGGGCAGGTTCTCTCATCTGCGCAGGAGCATCGGATGTGAACACTTGTGAGGCAGGTTAGAAGTTCTCTGGGGACTCCCCCCTTATCAGCCTCCTGCGTCTATCCATAGTGGCCCCGTCCATCACCCCTAAAGTTGACTTGTGCTGTTTTCTAATTCCTCTTTCCCCAGCCTGGTGCCTCCCTGCCTCCCTCCCCCACTGAGCCACTGATCCACTTTCTATCGTTTTAGGTTGCCTTGTATGTCCTAGAACCTTATACAGATGGACTCATACATCACATACTCTTTCTAGCCCGGCTTCTTTCACTCTGCAGAGTGTCTGAGACTCATCTGCACGCAGCAAACATCGATAGTTCCTTCTTCTTCCTCCACTGTGTGAATACAGCACAGTTTGCCTCTTCACGCACCTGTTGCACCTGTTGATGAGCATTTAGGTTGTTTCTAGCTTGTGGATACTCCAAATAAAGCTGCTCTGAACATTCACGTACAAGTCTCTGTATGGACCTCTGGTTTCGTTTCTCTTGAGTAAATACCTAGGAGTATGATGGCTGGAACAGATGGTAGGTGTTTGTGTAACTTTTTGAGAAACTGACAAAATGTTTTCCAACATTTTGGAAAAATCTTAGAAAATGCTATACGATCGTATATCCCCACTGTCAGTATATGGGAGTTCCAGTTCCTCCATACCCTCGTCAACATGAGACATGATCAGCCTTTTAAATTTTAACCATGTCAGTAGGTGTGTGATGGTCTCTCACTGTCGTGGTTTTAATTTGCTCTTCCCTGCTGATACCGAGCATCTTTTCTTATGCGTATTTGCCACGTATCTTCTTTGGTGACATTTCTGTTCAAACCTTTTGCTCATTTTTTAATTGTGTTGTTTTTCTGCTATTTACTATTGAACATTATTTATATATTTTGGATACAAATACTTTATCAGACATGTGATCTACAAATATTTTCCCCAGTGTGTGGTTTGTCTTTCTTTTTCTGTCTACTAACAGTATCTTTAAAAACACACACTTTTTTTCTACTTTAAAAAATAAACTTTTTTGAGATAGGGTCTCAATCTGTTGCCCAGGCTAGAGTGCAGTGGTGTGATCATGGCTTACTGCAGCCTGGACCCCTTGGGTTCAGGGGACTCTCCGACCTCAGCCTCCAAGCAGTTGGGGCCACAGGTGTGTACTACCATGCTTTGTTAATTTTTTCACTTTTTGTAGATATGGAGTCTCATTATATTGCCAGGGGTGGTCTCAAACTCCTGGACTCAAGCAGCCCTCCCACCTCAGCCTCCCAAAATGCTGGGATTACAGGTGTGAGCCATCACGCCAGACCAGTTCTTAATTTTGATGAAGTCCAATTTTATCAATGTCCTTTTTTTTGTCATGGATTACGCTTTCTGTGTCACATCTACCATATCTTTGCCTGGTCCAAGGTCATTTCTTGTAGAAGTTTTATATTTTTAGGTTTTACATTTAAGTCTAAGATCCACTGAGTTAATTTAGTTCAAATGCTCATTTTCTTTCTTTCTTTCTTTCTTTTTTTTTAAATTTGCTTGCAGCTATTCCAGTACAGTTGATTAAAAAGCCTCCTGTCTCCACTAAGCTGCCTTTGTATCTTTATCGAAAATCAATTGACCACATATTGCATGTCTATTTCTGTTCAGCTGCATTGATCTGTGTGTCCCTTTGGACACCAATCTCACAGGGTCCTGATTACTGTGGCTTTCTAAGAAGGCTGATAGTCACCTAGATAAGTTCTCCAACTTTATTCTGCTCATTTATTCTTTTCATGTCTTATCCATGAACATGGTTATTTCTCCATCTAGCTAGGTCTCCTTCAGTTTATCTTAGTGATGTTTTATAGTTTTTATGATTTTATTTTTTTATTCTATAAGGATATTTTTATGCCCATATTTTTTATGTTATTGTAAATGATGGTACAGGTTTTTTTACATTTTGACTTCTGATTGTTCATTGCTATATATTGAAACGTATTTGATTTTCAGATATGCTCTTGTTCTAGTAACTTTTTTAGATTATTTAGCATTTTCTACGTAGATAGTTATATCATCTGCCATAAACACAGTTTTGCTTGTTACTTTTCCTCGATCTATGTATCTTTCGTTTGTTTTTGAGATGGAGTCTCACTCTGTCACCCAAGCTGGAGTGCAGTGGTGCAATCTCGGCCCACTGCCACCTCTGCCTCCCAGGTTCAAGTGATTCTCCTGCCCCAGCCTCCCAAGTAGCTGGGATTACAGGCGCCTGCCACCACACCCAGCTGATTTTTGTATTTTTAGTAAAGACAGGGTTTCACCATGTTGGCCAGGCTGGTCTCAAACTCCTGACCTCAGGGAATCCACCCAACTCAGCCTCCCAAAGTGCCAGGATTACACGTGTGAGCCACCATACCCACCCCTCCCCCAGCTTTTTTTTGAGACAGGGATTCACTCTGTTGCCCAGGCTGGAGTGGTGTGATCACTGCTCACTTCAGCTTTGACCCCCGCACTGGTCCATGCTCAAGCAATCCTCCCACCTCAGCCCCCTGAGTATCTGGGACTACAAGCATGTGCCACCACATTCATCTATTTTTGTATTTTTTGTAGAGATGGGATTTTGCCACCCAGGCTGGTCTTGGACTCCTGGGCTCAAGCAATCCACCCACCTTAGCCTCCCAAAGTACTGGGATTACAGGCACAAGCCACAGTGCCCAGCAAAGCTATAAATCTTTCATTTATTTTTCAAATGTCATTGCACTGGTTAGAACTTCCAGTAAAATGTTAAAGAGAAGTGAAACATCCTTACCTTGTTCCTGATCTTAGGGGAAAAGCTTTCGTCTTTCACTATTAACATGATGTCAGCTACAGGTTTTCTTAGGTGCCTTTCATCTGGTTGAGGAAGCTCCGTTCCAGTCCTAGTTTGCTGTGAGCTCTTATCAGGAAATGATGTTGGATTTGGGAAAATCCTTTTTTCTGCCTCTAGTAAGATCAAACGGTTTTTCTTTTTTAACGTTAATATGGTGAAATAAATTGTTTTAATTTCAAGGGTTAAGCCAACCTTGTCTTCCCAGGATAGATCTTGGTCATAATGTATTACCTGCTTTATATATTATTGGATATAGCTTGCTGAAATTTTATTAAGAATTTTTGCATCCATGTTCCTAAGGAATATTGGTTCTAGTTTTCTTTTCTTATTAATATCTTTGTCTGGTTTTTATATAAGAATCATTCTCGGCCAGGCGTGGTGGCTCAAGCCTGTAATCCCAGCACTTTGGGAGGCCGAGGCGGGTGGATCACGAGGTCATGAGATCGAGACCATCCTGGTCAACATGGTGAAACCCCGTCTCTACTAAAAATACAAAACATTAGCTGGGCATGGTGGCGCGTGCCTGTAATCCCAGCTACTCAGGAGGCTGAGGCAGGAGAATTGCCTGAACCCAGGAGGCGGAGGCTGCGGTGAGCCGAGATCGCGCCATTGCACTCCAGCCTGGGTAACAAGAGCAAAACTCCATCTCAAAAAAAAAAAAAAAAAGAATCATTCTCGCCTTCTGGAATGAGCTAGGAACTATAGGTTGAAGTATCCCTTATCTGAAATGCTTGAGACCAGAGGTGTTTTGTATTTCAGATC